CCCCAAAACCCCAAAACCCCAAAACCCCAAAACCCCTAAAAAGGTATCTAAAGTTGAAACTGGATCCGTCTTAAATTAGAAAATATTTTGAGGTTTGAACCACTAGAGCTCATCCTTTTCGACTGACATTTTCCCTCTTGAAGGATTTGGCGTGATAGCAATTTTTGAAGTAAACTTGTCAGTATTTTTCTTCACAAAATTCTCTTGAGAGCTCGGTTTTTCCTGAACGAAGTCGTCATTACTGGGCCTCTTGATCGATCCATGCAAAGTTTCTGAGTTGTCACGATCTCTAGACCTAATGATGGGGCTGACTTGAGCATCTTGGTCTCCAAGTCTCAGTTCTCTGGACTCGCTCTTATTTTGGTCTTGGAGTCCACTTTCTTGGTCACTTCTTATTTTATTTTTCTCTTCTTTTTCTTTATCCTTGAGAGCTTTGTTGAGTTCTTTTTTCGTGTAAGCAATTATGATAATTATAGCAATTACAGCAAATATTAAGCCTATAGAGAACATAACTATCTTCAGAATCGATCCTCCGCTGTTGGTCTCGAACAGAGCTCCCATACTCGATACTGCAGTGCCGATGTAGACATAGATAAGGATCCCTGGAACCATCCCTAGATTAGCAATTGAGAACTGTATGATGGTGATAGGATAGACACCCATTACATAATTTAACAAATTATAAGGGATCAATGGAGACAGTCTTAGAAGGAACATAATCTTCAGACCTTTCTTTTCGAAACAAAGGCTCAATGCTCTCAGGTACTTATTCTTATCATGAATTTTGTTAAATACAGCTCTTAGCAAGGTATCTTCCAATGTACATTGCCATAATGCTTCCGATAGAAAAACCTATGAAGCAAGTGGCTGTACCTGCAAGCAAGACGAGTGGAACATTTGAAATAATGAATCAGTAGCTGAAACCTCACAAAAGAGCTCCAAATATACCTGGGAGGAAGAATAAAGTAATCAGAATATTGATCAGAATTAGAATAAAAGGTGCAGCTACTCCGTTCATTGTGATAAACATTACTGTGCTTTTTGCAGCAGGGTGGTTAGTGTTGAATATCCACATCAGAACTCATGTCACTCCGAGCATTAGAGCTGCTCACAAAATTTTTAAAACAAGCCCCATAGTTTTTCTCAATGTACACATAGGATTACCATAGAGAATGTTATCAACCCGGTCGTCCGCATCTCCACTGTCTGAGTCAGATTGCGGTCGGACTACAGAATTATTTGGCGAGATAGAGATTATAACACGATTATTTCTTTCTAAAGAACTTTCTTCTAACTCTTCTCCTTCTCTTGGAATGATGATTTCGGAATTTGGAGCTCTGGATGACATTTTTATTATACCATCGCTAATTATCGGACTAGATGCTGGGGTTTTGGGGTTTTGGGGTTTTGGGGTTTTGGGG